CTCCTCCTCCTCCCCCTCTGGCGGGACCTCGGGGTGCACTTGACCTGGGCCCTCTGGAGGCATGCCCTGGTCCCCGACTCTCGCCCCTCTGTCCCTTACCCCGCGCCCTCCCTCCTCGTTTAGTAGCTCAAGCGGCCTGGCCCTGGTAGCATCGAAGGCGAGGCCTTCGGTGACGGCTCGTGTACCACGCCAGTACAGGGAGACCCCCGACTCAGTAGAGCGGGCTGGTCGGTTGTCCAGGTGGACGGGCAAGGATGCCTGACCGCCTCCATTTGCGGCCCGCTCCCAGGGCCGCACCAGGCGTCAGATCTTGCGGAGGCCTTCGCCCTCCTCATGTATCTGACGCACGTGGCCTTGGGGCCCTACTGCTTCAACTCGGACTGCGCCTGGGTGGTTTCCAGCTTCGAGCGCGGACGCGCCGAGACCACTGGAGCCCAGTGCGAGGCAGCCGACCTCTGGACGCGCATCTGGGATCGCGTGGACGACCTAGGTGGCGACGTCACGATTGTGAAGGTCAAAGGCCACGCTCGACGCTGTCACGACAGTGCCGTCGAGCGTGGCCTGATCAAGCTCTGGGGGAATCACTACGCCGACCTCGGCGCCCGACAAGATGCAGCCCTCCACCCCACGGACAGTGCCGCGATGGCGCACCTTTCACCTGGTGACCCTTGTCGCCAAGTTTTTGGCTCGGGTGCTGCGCTCAGCGGACCCCAGCCAGCAGGATGCGCCGCGACACGGCCACCTGCAAAGTGTTCGGCGCAGGGGGACTGCCCCCGCGCTGACGGCAGACGTGGTGCTGCCCGCTGGCGCGCACGGGCCTGTGCCGTGCGGCAAGGGCTTCCGCTGATGCCGCTGTTTCCGCGTCGCCAAGACGCGTGATGGCTACACGCCTGCGGCGTGCTGCCCAGGAGGTGGCCACCGCGTATGGTGCGTGGGCCCTTTCCTTTTCTGCGCGAGGTGCGGAGCGCACTCGAGTGAGAACGCTCAGCTCCTCGCGCAGCCTTGCCTCGGGATTGTGCCCCCACAGACGCGGCCCCGCGTGGATCGCCTGTGGGAGGGCAAGCACCCGGCGTACTGGTCTTCCTCTGCCCTTGGCCAGCGGCCAGGTTAGGCCTCGGCCGTTCGCGGACTTCGTCCTCGACAGCCTGGTCGGAGACCTGGTAGTCGTGGACGAGGCTGCGGACGGTTTGTAGGCCCCTGGCTGCGCCTGCTGGCACTCCCCTTTGGGGCGGTGCTCGGGCCCTTTTTCCCTCGGTCGGGCTTGTGCCCGAGCCGCCTGGCTGTGCCTGCACGCTTGGGGCCGCGCCTGATGAGACCCTGCTCTTCCGCATCCGCAGCCGCAGCCTGCTCGTCCTCCTCCTCCTCCTCCTCCTCCTCCTCCTCCTCCTCATCTCTCCTCCTCATCCTCCTCCCTCCTCCTCCTCATCCTCTCCTCCCACCTCCTTCCTCCTCTCCTCCTCCTCCGCTTCCTCCGCTTCCTCTCCACCTCTCCGCTCCGCCTCCGCCTCCGCTTCCTCCTCCTCCTCCTCCTCCTCCTCCTCCTCCTCCTCATCCTCCTCTTCCGCATCCGCAGCCTTGTCCTCTTACTCCTCCGCATCCTCCGCATCCTCCCCTGGCACGGGTGCGATCCTGCGCGGTGATGACGTCCACCTGCAAGCAGGAGGACGAGGAAGACGACGAGGCGGCGGAGGACCGGGTGGGAAGGGAAGAGGTGGAGGAGGGCCAGGAGGAGGAAGAGAAGGAGGAGGGGGAGGAGGAGGAGGAGGAGGAGGAGGAGAGGAGGAGGAGGAAGGAGGAGGAGGGGAGTGAGGAGGAGGTGGAGGAGGAGGAGGAGGAGGAGGAGGAGGAGGAGGAGGAGGAGGAGGAGGAGTAGGAGCCGTGGGACGCCGTGTCCCGCCCTACGCCTACGAGGAGGCACCACCACCCGCGGCCCTTCCCGAGGGCCTCGACCTCGAGACCGTCCCAGCGAAGGCCCTCTGGGCCAACGCGACGGCCTTGGGGGCTCCTTGGGGGCACGGGTGGCGGCCTCTGGAGATTCGGGGAAGAGGAGGAGGAGGAGGAGGAGGAGGAGGAGGAGGAGGAGGAGGAGGAGGAGGGAGGAGGAGGAGGAGAGGAGGAGGAGAAGAGGAGGAGGAGGAGGAAGGAGGAGGAGGAGGAGGAGGAGGAAGAAGAAGCAGGGGAGGAGGAGAAGGAGGAGGAGAAGGAGGAGGAGGAGGAGAGGGAGGAGGGGGAGGGGGCGGAGGAGGGGGATGGGGGATAGGGGGATAGGGGAGAGGCAGGAGGAGAAGGGAGGGGCAGGACGAGGAGGTGGAGGAGGAGGTGGAGGAGGAGGAGGAGGAGGCAGAGAAGGAGGGGAAGGAGGGGCGGGGTCAAGGATCAAGATCCAGGATCAAGGCGTGGCCACGTCAGAGGAGCCGCAGTCCAGGAAGCGCAGAGCAGAGTAGAAGCGGCGGGAGACGACAGCGGCATACGAAGCCGCGGCAAAGAGCGCCCTGCGGTAGGCCAGCCGCCTGCGCCGCGGCCTCAGACCCTCAGCGGTCTGTCGGGGGACGGCTGTGCCGTCTCTTGCCCTTGCTGCTGCCCCTGCCAGGGCAAGGAGCGGCCGCCGCTGCCCGATGATCCGGGGCCACGGACCGTGGACCATCATCAGCACAATCACTGTCAGCACGACCACCAGCACAAGAACAGCACAGCCCAGCCATCAACACCGCCATGAATGATGTGAGCGAGTAAAGACACGCGTACACGTACGCACTCTGCGATCCCGCCTGCACGAGTGCTCGCGCCCGAACGCATGCCAGCGGAAGGTGACCGCGTATGTGCGCATCTGCTGCTGGTCTCTGACGATGTGCTCGAGGAGCTGCCTGGCATCAGACAGCACGAGGGAGCCGTGTCCACCAGGTCATTGAGGCCTGGGAGCGGCGCCGCCGCCGCCAGAATGCACGACGCCCGCGCCCCAGCGCGCGCCCCGAGAGGAGCGCTCCTCCTGTGCGGCCCAGCTGCTTTGAGCTTCGCGCGCCCCTGCTCAACCAATGGCTCGCTGAGCCCCTCTGCTGGAGCTGCTCCCAGAAGCGCAGGCTCCCGCCGTAGATGCCGTGTGAGAGCGCCGAAGGCCTCCCACAGCTGCATTCGGTGACAACTCATGGGAGCCTGCCATACCATATTGTCGGCTCGTGCGAATCGACGCTGAGCGATGCTGGTCGACGCTAAATCGACGCGAATCGACGCAAGCGTCGGCGCTATCTTTTGAACTCCCAGACGCTAACAGCTAACCGACGCTGAAAACGCAATCAACAGGGCACACCAGGCTCCTGTGCTTTGCGGCCGAAGCCGCCACCCGGCCCCTCCGCGCGGAGCCGCTGGGCTCGGCCACCTGCGGCAGACCGACGGGGGCGGCGCTGGCGCCACGACCGGGCACACGCTGACGTGGACTGCGCATCCGTGGATCTGGCGCGCGGGCGCCAGGGCCCTCGGTGAAGCTGCCCTCCAGTGCGGCCTCACGTGGCGACGGAGCACGCCGACTTCGCATGGAAGCGGGCCCCGCCGCGAATCCACGGACCCGAGTCCGTGCTTCTGGGTCGCCTCAACCTCGCGGTCCCTCGCTCCCTCGCGCCGCCGCGCTGGAGAGGGGCGCCTCTCCAGCCCAAGCCGCCATGCGCGAAGCGCGACTTGATTACCCCTCCGCTTCTCGCCTCCTCGCCCCTGCTCCCAGGAGGAGCTCCTGCCCCCACCCTTCCTCCTCTCCCAGAGGCCTCCTAGATGGGGTCGGAGTAGATGGGGCCGGAGCATCCCGCCACATCGCCGATGCACCGGCGATGCATCGGCGATGCACCGGCGATGCACCGGCGACATCGGCGATGCATCGGCGACGCCAGCGTGGAGCTAGTCGAGCTCCACATCGATCCGCATCGGCGATGCATCGCCGATGCGGCGCGATCCTCCGACCCCCCCGCGCGCGGGCCTCTCCCGCGGGCGCTCGGTGGTCGGGGGCCGGCGGGACTCCTCCGCCGCCCCCGCAACGGGGCGGCTCCCCCGAGGTACGGCCCGCTGTCTGAGGCAGCGGCCACTCCCAGGCGAGAGGGGTCTGCTGGCCAGGAACGACTTGACTCCGCTACCTGGGAGCTCCACCTCTCCCCCCTGGGCCTCCCTGAGATCCCACGGCGCGAAAAAACATGAAGCATGGTAAACACATCACGACCAAAGCCCTAGACCCTATCTTCCCGCGCCATGTTACACGTCGGATCGACATGTGAGGCTCCGGGGCTCCGAAGCCGGGCGAAAACGCCCAGCTCAGAAAAATTGAGACGCCAGGAACCCTGGGCATCTCTCAGGGAGAGGGAATCGCACCACCTCCACCACCACCACCACCACCCGAAGGAGTGAGGCAGAGAGTGGTCAGGGGCGGTGGTGGTGTATATTCGCAAGACATCGTGCACAAGACACGCGTCCCGCACAGAAGCTCCTCCTGGACCCCCCATGTGGTGGTGGTGGTGGTGGTGGTGGTGGTGGTGGTGGTGGTGGTGGTGGTGGTCGTGGTGGTGGTGGTGGTGGTGGTGGTGGTGGTGGTGGTGGTGGTGGTGGTGGTGGTGGTGGTGGTGGTGGTGGTGGTGATGGTGGTGGTGGTGGTGGTGGTGCGCTTCCTGTTCTCAAGTCTTTGTCGTTTTCTAGAGCGCAGAGAATCCCCCCCCATGGTAAGCACCCCGACAAGCGAAGCCGTTCAGAAAACGCACCCAAGGAAAGAATCGAACAGGGCAAGGCTGTTCAATGAACGCCCAGGGCCGTTCATGGGGAGACCAAAAAGTACCGATACCGCTACTCCCTGGACCTTTCCCAGAGTGCGTTCTGACCAAGATTTCGAGGCGAATCCAGCGGTGGTGACGATGACCTCCCAGGAAGCCAAAAAAGGAGGTGAAACGGGCGAAGGGTAGAGGTACGCTTACCTTTCCTCCTCCGAGTTTAGCAAACGCCAATGATCGGGGGCGGGATGCTTTTTCCTAGGTGTGATTCTCCTCCCCCCCCCGGGCCTCGGATCGAAGCGACTCGATGTCCCAGAAGTCGGCGTACGAGGAACGGCCGCCCCCCTTGATCCAGTGCTTGCCCTCGCCGGGGGGGCTGCGGGCAGGAGTCTGCGCGGCGCCTCTCCCGCCCCTCCGAAGCCCAGCAAGAGGGAGAGGGAGGAGGATTGAGGAGGAGGAGGAGGAGGAGGAGGAGGATTGAGAAGGAGGAGGAGGAAGAGGAGGAGGAGGAGGGGAAGGAGAAGGGGGGAGAGGGGAAAGGATGATTAGGAGGAGGAGAGAAGAGGGGGAAGAGAGGGAGGGGGAGGAGAAGGAGGAAGGATGATTATGAGGAGGATGAGAGAGGAGGAGGAAGGAGGAGTGAGGAGGGAGACGGATGAGGAGGGAGGAGGATGAGGATGAGGAGGAAGAGAGGAAGGAGAAGAAGTGATGAGGAGATTTTGGGGGGGTCCTGCCAGCTGCTGTGGACGACATGGGATTTACTGAAAGGTTCATGTAGATGTTTGCTTGAGGGGATCTCATTGAGCAAGGCGGAGAGCACATCCTAGTCCGTTCGCCCTCACACTCTCCAGGCCCTGGACAGACTGGGGACAGAGAGGAGAAGAGAGAGACAGTTATGGCAAAGGACGCCAGGATTGAGGATGGAGGTGAGAATGCTGCCGAGGACGAGGATGGGGGAGGGAAGGAGGGAGGGGCAGGAGGGTCACGGACCAGGATGACGGGAGGAACGGGACGAACATGAAAGAAGGGAGAAGGACGGAGGAATGAAGGACGAGGATGAGGAAGAAGAAGAAGAAGAAGAAACATGACCAGAAGAAGAAGGAGAACGCAAGAGAAGACAGGAGAGGAGGGAGGAGGAGAGAAAGGAGGAAGGAGGAATGAGGGAGGCGGATGGTGAGAGGAGGGAGAAGGGGCAGGAAGGAGAAAAGAAAGACGGAGGAACAGGGAGGGAACAAATAACGAAGGGAGTAAAAGAGAGGAACAGGATGGAAGGAGGAAGGGGATGGAGGAAAGAGGTAGGAAAGTGAGAGGGGAAGAAATGAAAGAGAAGAAGGGGGAGGAGTTCCGACTCCATCTTCTTGTTGCCTCTTCGTCCCTCGTCATCCTTGTCGCCGTCCTACCCCTCCTGCTCAATCCTCCTCCATCCTCCTCTCATTCCTCAATCTCCACTCGCCTCCTCCTACTCCCTGCTACTCGTCATCATCATTATCAGCAGCAGCATCATCACCACCACCACCATCACCATCATCGTCAGCATCATCAGCATCATCATCATCAGCATCAGCATCATCACCCCATCAGTCATCGAATATTTCAGCCACACACTCACAGCATCATCACACGCATCATACCAAGAAGCATCATCATCATCATCATCATCATCATCATCATCATCGTCATCATCGTCATCATCAGCATCACGGTCAACATCCTGAACATCATCAACACCATACGCATCATCATCCTCATCATTATCAGCATTGTCATCGCAGATATCAGCATCAGGATCAGCATCATCATCATCATCATCAACAGCAGCATCATCATCATCAGCATCAGCATCATCACCCCAGCAGTCATCGAACAATTCAGCCACACACTCACAGCATCATCACACGCATCATACCAAGAAGCATCATCGTCATCAGCGTCATCATCGTCATCATCAGCATCACGATCAACATCATCAACATCATCAACACCATAAGCATCATCATCCTCATCATCAGTATCAGCATCGTCATCGCAGATATCGGCATCATGATCATCATCATCATCATCATCATCATCATCATCATCATCATCATCATCATCATCAGCAACAGCATCAGCATCATCCGCATCATCAACATCATCATTAGATCATCATCATAATCGCCATTGTCGTTATCGTCATCATCAGCATAACCATCATCAGCATCATCAGTATCATCAGTATCATCATCACCGTCACCACCACCTTCGCCATCCTCGTCATCATCATCATCATCAGCATCATCATAATCATCGTCATCATCATCACCATCACCATCACCATCACCATCATCATCATCAGAATCATCATCATCATCATCATCATCATCATCATCATCATCATCATCATCAGTATCACAATCACCAGCACCATCATCTTCAATCATCAGCATCCCCACCCTCAAAGCGAGATCCTCTCTCCTCCTCGTCCTCTTCTTCTTCTTTTTCCTCGTCGCATGTCTCTTCATTCCTATCCTTCGTGCCCCGTGCCGATCATGCTTGGGTCCTGGCATGCGAGTGCCGCGCCCACGCTCTGAGAATGCGACGCACGTGCCGGGCCCGCGTGCCGTGCCGCGCCTCACTTCCCAGAGTGCAGACCAGGCGCCGTGGCGTGGCGTGACGAGGCTCTGGAATGCGAGCCCGCGTGCGCGGCCGCACCGTGCCCGCGTGCCGTGCCGTGCGGCGCCCTAAGCAGCGTGAGACCCGTGCCGTGCCGTGCCCAAGTTTTACGAGCTCGGCAAACTGTTCTCCCAACGCCAGCCCACGGGCCAACACCGGCTTGCAGCGGGTCGCGCATGTTCGGGAGGGCGAGGCGATGCGGGTTTGCACCACCTGGCTTCGACCACAGAGCTTACACCGCGTAGCTTGAACCACACACACACACACACACGGGCTGAAAGTTGCTCGCCTCGCATGGAACAGCATGGGCCCAGTTAGATCTCATCAAGTGTGTGCGAGAGTCACGTGGATCAAATTATCCTGTGACCTGGATCCAACTTCTTGGCGCGGAAGCCTGGCGGATCCAATTCGCTTGAATCCGCCACCGTGCCGCTGGGCACGAAGTTGGCGTGTCCTCAGGTCCTTTGCCTCATCCCTTCAGCCTCAGTCCTCACTCCTGCGGAGATTCTTGAGGGCCTGGACCCCGAATTCTCAAATCATCTTGGGCTTGGCGCGGTCTTCCTGGGCTCATGGGCATCTTCTCGCACTACTAAATGGGGCCCGAGAGGGCCCCAGGATGGACCAAGAGGGCCCCAAGAAGGCCCCTGGACGGCCCCCGAGACGCCCAATGATCGTTCCAAGACGCCCGAGACGGTCCCCAGACGGCCCAAGAAGCGTCCAAGACGCACCAAGAAGCCTCCAAGGACCTCACGAGAGGGTCCAGAGAGGCAAAACTCATAGATGTCCCTTAGGTGTTCGAGAGTGGCCTTCTCACCATTTAGGCTCTCCGACGCTCCAAGATGGCCCTAAGAGGCCTCCAAGACCGCCCCAAGAGGCCCCCCAGAGAACGCCAAGACGGCTCAAGACAGCCCCAAGGCGGCCCCAGAGGCGCGCAAGACGGCCCAAGAGGCCCCCAAGACGGCCTCATGACGGACCCAAGGTGGGACCACGAACTGAAAATTTCAGGGCTCTTTCTCTATAGGGCCCTCGGAGGCCTAAAAAGGCTTCCAAAAGGCCCCAAGAATCGCCCAAGCGGCCCAAGAGGCCCCGAAGAGGCCCCCAAGAGGCCCAACCGAAGCTCCAAGAGACCACAAGACGGCCTTCCAGAGGCCGCAAAACTGCTTCCAAGAGGTCCCCAAGAGACCCCACGAGCTCCCAAAGAACAATCAAAAGGCCTCTGACCCACGACCCAGGCACGGTGGCGGGATGGGCCGAAGGCCACTCGGATCCGCCGCCCCCTGTCGATTCATCGCAGGGGTGCCTGGCGTGCCAGACTATTTCGGTTTTGATTTTGGTTCTTTTCCAAAGGAACTCCCCCTGAGGCTTCGGCCCGTCCCGCCGGGGTCCCGGGAGGATTGCCCGGACCCGGTTGCCAAGGATGTTTCTCTCCAGATGGCTACAAGACAGCCCAAGATGGCATCCAAGATGCATCCAAGACGGCCAAGATGGCCTCCATGACGGCTAAGATGGCTCCGACCGCCTAAGATGGCATCAAGATGGCCCAAGACTGCCCCAGAGGCCCCCAAGATGCCTCCGATACAGCCCAAGAGGCCCCCAAGAGGTTCTCAAGGAGGGCCCGAGGAGGCCAAAATCATTGATTTTCCTTAGGTGTTTTGGGATTTTGGCATTTGCGCCTTTTCGGATGTCCGACGGCCCAAGACGCCCAAGAGGCCCCCAAGGTCGCCCCAAGATCGCCCAAGAGGCCTCCAAGATGGCCCCAGGACGGCCCAAGAGGCCCCCAAGACGGCCCCAAGAGGGCCCCAAGACGGCCCAAGAGACCCCCAAGACGCCCAAGATGGCCTCCAAGACGGCCAAGCAAGATGGCCTCCAAGATGCCTCCAAGACGGCAAGGATGGCCTCCAAGACGGCTAAGATGGCCCTAAGATGCCTCCAAGACGGCCCAAGATGCACCCAGGACGGCCTTAGATGGGCCCAAGAGGCCCCCCAGAGGCCTCCAAGACGGCCCAAGAGACCTCCAAGAGGTCCTCCAGGAGGGCCCAAAGAGGCCAAAATCATTGATTTTCCTTAGGTGTTTGAAGGATTGTCGCATTCGCTTCTTCTCGGCTTACCGACGACCCAAGACGGCCCAACAGGCCCCCAAGATCGCCCCCACAGCGCCCGGGAGGCCTCCAAGATGGCCTCAGGACTGCCCACGAGGCCCCCACGACGGCCCCAAGAGGGCACAAAGACGACCCGAGAGGCCTCCAAGACGCCCAAGATGGCCTCCAAGACGGCCCTGGAGCACCCCAAGAGGACCCCAAGTCGGTCCAGAAAGACCCCCCAAACGGCGTCCGATGGCGTCAGACGGGCCAGGAGCCCACCAAGATGGCCGAAATTAGCTCGAAGCCGGCCCAAGACGGCCCAAGAGGCCTCCAAGAGGGCCTCCAGGACGGCAAGAGAAGGCCAAAAACACTCATGTTCCTCAGGTGTTCGAAGGATTGTGACATTTGCTTCGTTTCGGCCAGCCTTCCGACGGCCCGAGACGGCCCAAGAGCCCCCAAAGATCGCCCAAGGATCGCTCCCGAGGCCTCCAAGATGGCCCCAGAACGGCCCAAGAGGCCCCCAAGACGGCCCCAAGGGGCCCCCAAGACGGCCCAGGAGGCTTTTAAGACGCCCAAGATCGCCTCCAAGGCGGCCCTGGAGCATTCCAAGAGGGCCCCAAGTCGGCCCAGAGAGGCCTCCAAACGGCTTCCGACGGCGTCGGACGGACCAGGAGCCCACCAAGCCAGCCGAAGATTGCTCGAAGCTGGCCCAAGACGGCCCAAGAGGCCTCCAAGAGGGCCTCCAGGAAGGCCCGAAAATGCCAAATCAATGATTTCCCATGAGTTTTTGAAGGATTGTGGCATTTGCTTTCTGTCGGCCTTCCGACGGCCCGAGACGGCCCAAGTGCCCCCAAAGATCGCCCAAGAGGCCAAGACGGCCCAAGAGGCCCCCAAAACGGCCGAAGAGGCTCCAAGACGCTCAAGATGCCTCCAAGACGGCCCAAGAGCCCTCCAAGACGTCCTCCAAGAAGGCCCGAAAGGGTCAAAATGGCCTCCAGCGGCCAAGATGACCTCCAAGATGCCCACGTGTTCCCCGAAGGCTTTCCAAACCGATTCGGGGAACACATGGTCCGATAGCTTGGCAGGTCTGGCCTCAACGTTCGGCCACTTAGGCGCTTCCAGAAAGGCAGGGGGCAGCGGTGATTCGCCGGAGGCGTCTTCGATCCGCCGCCCCCTGTTGCTTGCAAGAGGGGTGCCTGGCGTGCAAAATTATTACGGTTTTGATCTTGGTTATCTTTCCAAGAAAAACTCCCCCTGGGACTTCGGCCTGTCCCGCCGGCCACCCGGAAGGCCCGGAGTTCTCAGATTTGTTGCTCAAGATGGCCCACGATAGTCTCCAAGATGGCCACGTTGGCCCAAGATGGCCTCCAAGATGGTCCAAGATGGCCTCCAAGTCCGCCCAAGATGGTCCAAGACGGCCTCCCATACGGCCCCAGAGTCCAAGACGGCCGAAGACGGCCCAAGAGGCTTCCCAGAGGCCTCCAAGCCCCACAGCACCCAAGAGGCCTACAAGACGGCCTCAGGACTGCCTAAGAGGCCCCCACGACGGCCCCAAGAGGGCACAAAGACGACCCACGAGGCCTCCAAGACGCCCAAGATGGCATCTAAGACGACCCTGGAGCACCCCAAAAGGGCCCCCCCCAAACGGCGTCCGACGGCGTCAGACGGGCCAGGAGCCCACCAAGATGGCCGAAGTTGGCTCGAAGCTGGCCCAAGACGGCCCAAGAGGCCTCCAAAAGGGCCTCCAGGAAGGCCAGAAAAAGGCCCAAAACACGAATGTTCCGTAGGTTCTCGAAGGATGTTCGGCCTTCCGACGGCCCGAGACGGCCCAAGAGCCCCCATAGATCGCCCCAGGATCGCTCCCGAGGCCTCCAAGATGGCCCCAGAACGGCTCAAGAGGCCCCCAAGACGGCCCCAAGAGGCCCCCAAGACGGCCCAGGAGGCTTTTAAGACGCCCAAGATCGCCTCCAAGGCGGCCCTGGAGCATTCCAAGAGGGCCCCAAGTCGGCCCAGAGAGGCCTCCAAACGGCTTCCGACGGCGTCGGACGGACCAGGAGCCCACCAAGCCAGCCGAAGATTACTCGAAGCTGGCCCAAGACGGCCCAAGAGGCCTCCAAGAGGGCCTCCAGGAAGGCCCGAAAATGCCAAATCAATGATTTCCCATGAGTTTTTGAAGGATTGTGGCATTTGCTTTCTGTCGGCCTTCCGACGGCCCGAGACGGCCCAAGTGCCCCCAAAGATCGCCCAAGAGGCCCAAGACGGCCCCAAGAGGCCCCCAAAACCACCGAAGAGGCCTCCAAGACGCTCAAGATGGCCTCCAAGACTGCCCAAGAGCCCTCCAAGACGTCCTCCAAGAAGGCCCGAAAGGGTCAAAATGGCCTCCAGGCGGCCAAGATGACCTCCAAGATGCCCACGTGTTCCCCGAAGGCTTTCCAAACCGATTCGGGGAACACATGGTCCGATAGCTTGGCAGGTCTGGCCTCAACGTTCGGCCACTTAGGCGCTTCCAGAAAGGCAGGGGGCAACGCTGATTCGCCGGAGGCGTCTTCGATCCGCCGCCCCCTGTTTATTTATCACAGGGGTGCCTGCCGTGCTGAATTTCTTGCGGCTTGGTTTTGGCCCTTTTCCACCAGGACTGCCCCTGAGGCTTCGGCCCATTGCGCCGGAGTGCCCCTCGAGTCGGCTTCTTCGGTCAGCATTGCCTCAATACGGCCTCCATCACGGCCAAGACGCTTCCATGACGGCCAGGACGGCCCCAAGAGAGCCTGAGATTTCCCCAAGATGGTCCCATGATGACTCCAAGATCGCCAAGATGGTCCAAGAGAGCCCAAGACGGCCCAAGAAACGCCGAAGATGCACCGGGCTTCGTTTTTCTGCGAGAACAGCGCTCAATCACCGTGCCATGCTTGGAACTCCCCTCAGGCCTCGCTCCAGCGCAGTACGGAACATACGTTTTCGGCTCTGACGGCCGACAATCCGTACAACGCGCCATGTCCGAATCGAAGAACGGCGACGCCTCGAGAGACGCCAACACGGAACGGTGCATGCAGGTCGTCCGCGGAGTTTCCACGGTAACAAGCTCTGCCCAAGCTCTGGGGTACGACAGCGGGCCAGCAACGATGTGACCCAGAAATGGAAGGCTCCCCAGACGGACGGCCAGCGCCGCGCGTCTCATGCACAAGCAATATTGTATCAGTTCAGCAGATTTGTTTCGCGCAGGTGCCACGGAGCAGGAGGCCGCAGATCAAGCAAAAGAGCATGACAGTTACACACTACCGCCTTTTCCTGAGTCGCGCAGGGGAATAGGAGGGGAGAGAGAGAGAGAGAGAACAGAAAGAAGGAGCAGGAGGAGATTTAGGCTTCGATACTGCATAGGGAAACATATCCCCCAGCCCGTAGAAGACGAGAAAGGCGCCGCGAGTGCGAAAAGCATGCCGTGCCGTGCCGTGCCCGACAGAGCCGTGCCTGCATGCCTCGTGCCGTCCCGTGCCGCGCCCAGGCTCTGGAATGCGACCGACGTGCCGTGCAGCACCACGCCGTGCCCTCGCGCCTTGCCGTGCCGTGCCGTGCTCTTTGACGCCCGAAATGGGTACGGAAAGAACGGGCACAATGCCCAACAGCAAATGATGTCCCGAACCAACAGCGGCCGCTGTTGGGCAGGCGGCCTTCTGTTTCAAATAGACACAGGCCGCGGCGGCGTGGACAGCGAGTCCTGTTCAAAATGAACAGGAACTGCTGTCGGTCTTTGTGCCCATTCTTTTCGTACCATTGTCGGTCATCCCGATGCTCGGCTTCCTGCGGCGCCCGCAACCCACACCCAGGCACGCCCCCTGTGATGTTGACCCACGGCTCACGTGTGCTATTACAGGCCTCCCAGACGGGGTCGGAATAGATGGGATCGGAGGATCGCGCCGCATCGCCGGCGATGCATCGCCGACGTGGGCGATGATCGGCGACGTCGACGTGAAGCAAATCGAGCTCAACATCGAACCGCACCGACGATGCATCGGCGATGCGGCGCGATCCTCCGACACCATCTACTCGGACCCCATCTGGCAGGCCTAGAGCCTCGAGCAATCATGCAGCGCTGCCCCTCAGGCTCTCTTTCGATTGTGTACGGTCGGGAACTGTTGCTTAGCGTGTCGCCAAGCGAGCGGATGGCGTGTCGCTCCGCTCCGCGAGGCGGGAGGCTCGGAGAGGCTCGGAACGTTGGCGTCAGGGGACCGGGAAGCGGAGAGCGTGTCGCGCCGAAACGTGGTGGGGAAGAATCGGTGGCGCGACACGCTATCCAAAAATTTCCGACCATACTCCTCCTGGCCTCCAAGGGAGGTGGCACATCCCGCCATGCCCGCCTCGTAGTTGCTAGCATGCGACTGCGTGGGACCCCAGTCCACAAGGTACCACCCCTCCGGCGGCGGGAGCACCTGGAGGAGGAGGAGGCGGATGGCGGAGGAAGAGAAAGAGGAGGAGGAGGAGGAGGAGGAGGAGGAGGAGGAGGAGGAGGAGGAGGAGGAGGAGGAGGAGGGGATGAAGAGGGGGGGAGGGAATGACGAGAAAGTGGAGAAGAGATTGGGGAGAAGATGGGGGAAAGAAGAGGAATCGGAAGAGGAGGAGGAGGAAAAGGAGCAGCACAACCTTGCTCTGTATATGCGCAGGGGTAATGCCGCACGCGGGTTGCTGCAAAAAGTTGCTTCAAGTCTTGCTCCCCCCTCTTTCGGCGTTGTTCCGCCCAGCGGTCGGCCATCTTGAATCGTTGGGATTCGCAACAGCTCAGATGTTTTGACGATGAGGCGCTGTTTGACCCGATCGAACCAGGTCACCCAGCCATTCTGCGGCGGTCTTTACTTGGCATGATACGCGTGTTCAGCCAGCTGCCCAACGAGATCGCGAACGAACAGTCGGACTGCCCAGATCTTCCGGAGAAGGCTTCAACACAAAACCACAAGCCTCGGCCGGCCGGCCGGCCTGGCAGGAGATGTTCCGCGAAGGTGTGTACACATGACTTTGCTCTGCCATGCTGAACTGTTGTGAGGTTTGTCGCAGAAATTAGCAGGAGGACGAAGCGAGGAGGACTGGAACGACGACGACGACAACACCGACGAGCGACGGGGGGCCCTGGAGGCCCTCCCTGTACCAGCCAGTTCGCCTTGCTCCACCACTGCCGCACCACGGACAGAGCTCGGCCGCCCACCCCCCAGACCCGACAACGACGACGACGACGACGACGATGAGCGACGGGGGCCCTGGAGGCCCTCCCTGCACCGACCAGTCCGACGATCATCTCCGCCTGCTGCTGCTCTTCGGCCTGCTCCTCACCATCATCCGTCCTTCTCACTCTCGTCCTCCTTTTCCTCTTGAGCATCATGCCCATCATCATCCTCATCCTCATCCTCATCGTCATCATCATCAGCAGCATCATCATCACCACCATCACCATCACCATCACGACAATCATCATAAGCAGCATCATAATCATCATCATTAATACTATCACAATCGACATCATGACAACCACCAACACTAGCCTGATCATCATTCCCGCCAACACCAACAGCAGCATCGGCATCACCACCGACGCCACCATCACCACCGTCATCATCATCATCATCATCATCATCATCATCATCATCACCATCATCATCACCAGCATCATCATCATCATCATCATCATCATCATCATCATCATCATCGCCATCATCATCATCATCACCATCAACATCATCATGATCATCATCATCATCATCACCATCATCATCATCATCAACACAATCATGAAATCATCATCATAATCATCATCATCTCCTCATCAGATCACCACTACCATGACCACCACCACCGTCATCATCACAATCATCGTCATCATCATCAACAACATCAACATCATCACCATCAATACTACTAATACCGTCGTCACCGTGACAACCATCACCAACATCCTCATCATCATTCCCGCCACCACCAAAAGCGTCATCGGCATCACCACCAACGCCACCACCACCACCATCAGCATCATCATCATAATCAAGACGATCAACGCCACCACCACCACCATCATCATCACCACCACCACCATCCATAATCATCATCAGCATCATCGTCATCATCGTCATGCCCATCCCCATCCTCATCCTCATCAGCATCATCATCAGTAGCATCATCATCGTCAGCATCGGCCTCAGCATCAACAGTAGTATTACGATCACCATCGGCACCATGACAACCACCACCACCATCCTCATCATCACTCCCGCCACCACCAAAAGCATCATCGGCATCACCAGCACCAGCATCATCATCACCATCATCACCGTCATCACTATCACCACCACCACCACCACCACCACCACCATCATCATCATCATCATCATCATCATCATCGTCATCTTCATCTTCATCAACATAATCATCGTCATCAACGCCACCACAATCACCACCACTGTCATCACCACCACTACCATCACCATCATCATCATCATCATCATCATCATCATCATCATCATCATCATCTCCATCGTCATCGTCTTTGTCATCGTCATCATGATGCTCATCATCACCACCATCATCATCATCATCAGCAGCATCATCGTCATCAGCATCCGCATCAGCACCATTTCTAACATCATGGCTATCGCCGTTGTCACCATCATCATCCGCAGCATCCCCACCACCATCAACATCATCATCCCCACCACCATCAACATCGTCACCAGCATCAGAATCCTCAACATCGGGGTCTGGGCGTCATGATCATCATCATCATCATCATCATAATCAGCAGCAACATCATCAACAACATCATCAACTTCATCACCAGCATCACCAACATCAACAACAACATCACCATCACCATCGTGATCGTCATCGTCATCGTCATCGTTGTCGTGATCATCACCGTCACAATCACAATCACGATCATTATCGTAAACCTCCACCCCAACCTCCACCTTCATCACAATCACGATCATTACCGTCTACCTCCACCATCAACTCTCCTGTTCCTCATCCTTCCTCTTTTCTAATTCCATTCTTCACCCCACCGCCTCCCACCGCTGCTGCACACGGGCATGATGCAAGCTTTGCCACTCCCTTCCCCTACGCCCTCCCTCGCAGTCCACAGGGGAGAGAGGATGAGTGCGAGGAAGAGGGGGGAGGGCGTGACTACCGGATGCCAACGCGGCTCTACCGAAGCACCAGCGTGCGATTGGAGCGCTTCGCGACGTCGATGAAATACTCAAACGCCATACGGATGTTGTTGAAGCCACCGGGGTCCGTGTCGAAGAAAAGATAACCAGAGCCTCCGGAAGATGAGCAGGGCGAGCAGGATGAACGAAATAGCGAACGAAACTGCTGTCGCCAGGACGCCGCCGTCCCTGCAAGAGTCAGGCGCGCTGGTCGCAAGGGATGAGCAAGAGACAAGGACGAGGGAGGAGCAAAGGGCATCCACGGCCTGAGCGCGCCTTGGCCCTCTTCGGCTTGCGCCACGGCTGCATCAAGGTCGCGACATCGGCCTCGTACCACGTCAGGCTCACCTCCGCGCGGTGCGCGGGAATGGATGCACATTTTTGTGAACACCGAATCTTCATCAGCTCGTCGTGAGCAACATGTAAGGGCAGCATGCTGGAGGCGGGCGAAAGCAAATGCTGACAAATACGAAGGAAGATGGAGGGAGGGAGGAGGGAGGAAGAAGGGAGGATGGAAGGGGGGGATGAACCAGGAGGGAGAAGGGAGGGAGTGGAGGCAAAGGTGGGGGCAAGCTCTGTATCCATATCCACTGCGCCTCGGGTTTTCGGACCCCTTTCCTTCGGAACCCGAAACGCAGTGGACGTGGATGAAAATCTGGCGGCGTCTCAGGCTTTTGGCATCCCTTCCCCCGAATAATCCAAGGCACCCTGGGTATGGCTATGCGCATTGCCCGCACGGGGGGGGGGGCGGGAGGGTGGAGACGCTTTTGGAGGCAGGACACGAGGGCGGGTTGGGGCCTTGAACTGCTCCTGGTGCAGCGCGTCCGCGGCGGCGTCCGAGCTGGCGTAGCTGCTCTCGAGCCCCGCCAGCAGGCTGACCTCTCTGGACCTCTCGCCAGTCACCGACGTCGTCTTCGGGCGCGTCCAGTGGACGCCGCCCGGGCCCGCGACACCGCCGCCCTGGCGCTGGGGCGGAGGGCGGGGCCAGACAGGAGGGGAACAGAGGTGACAGGGGAAGGCCGATGAGGAGGGCGAAGGGTAGGGATGGGAATCCCACCAGCCCTCTGGGTTCAGGTGGTCTAGGGAGGCTCCTCTTCCAACCCCCATTCTTCCCCTTCGGGGAGGGGTTTGATCACTGTTCCCCATTAGTACACACCCTCTCCCCCAGGCGACCGGCAGCCAACCAGGAATCATGCTCAACCCCCTACCCCACCCGTCCCTGTCAAAAAAAACGCACTCTGCCTCCAAACTCGGAGAATGCGCAACCAACCCGAAGCGGGCCCCCACCCCTTATCCTTGTCAGAAAACACTACAAACCACACTTTGGGGTAAAGTCTGGAGTCATGTTCGTGAGGCCCGCGAGCACTTTTCAGTGCTTGTTGACAGGGACGGCGGGAGTGTCAGCATATTGCCTGCTGTGTGCAGGGCTAAACTCAAAATGCAAATGCAAAAACACAATATAACATGCACCTCGCGGCTAAGCCTGGATCGTGCGCGGCCACCCCGCAAGCATTGCCAAGTGGCTTTTGACAGGGACGGCGGGGGTGGTGGCGTATGGCCTGCTGTACGAAGGCCCACCAGGCACAATGATGAGCATTGGTTTTCGACAAGGATGGTAGGAGCCGACATGTTTCCCTATGTGTGTTGTCACGTGCGCAGGCGCACCTGACACACTCTGCCCGTGCCCCGAACGTGGCGCACCTGGCGCGGCTGGAACATGCGGCACACCTGTCGCACGCGGAGGCACGTGGCGCATCTGGCGCGCCAGGCGTGCCTAGCACGCTCGCGCCCCAGGGGTGCCTGGCGCGCGTGGCGCGCCTGGCACGCGTGGTGCGCCTCGCCCCAGCGTCGCGCACATGGGCTCGGTGTTGGTTCCCAGCAACTGCCCATCCAAAGACGACCGCTGAACATGGTGAGGCTCGGGTGTTACTTATGTGTTGGGAGGGCGGGTGGGAGTGAGCTAGACGGCTCGCTATCTGGGGGTGTCTTGACCCCTACCCCTACCCCCTACCCTGGTCCTGGACGGGGCGCCCCGCGAGCGGTCAGAGCATCTAAGATGGCCCAAGACGGCTCCAAGAGGGCCTCAGAGACCCCAAGATGACTTCCAAGACGGCCCAAGATAGCCCAAGAGGACGAAGGGTGGAGGTGGGAACTTTTTTCGAAAACGACTGGCGTATGGGTTCCAACGCCCGGACAATGTTTGTGGGTTGTCCGCCTGGGACAAGGTGGCTGGCAACGCCCACCGCGAGATTGGTAGGTGCTTTGGATCGATGCTGCACGATGGGCTACCAGGAACTGGGAACTAGTAGGAGGAGGAGAAATCAGAAAGAGGACAACGAAGAGGGGACGAAGCGGAGGACGGAAGGGGAGAGGAGGGAGTATGGCGGGAAGGGGAGATGAGAAGAGGGAGAGGAAAAGGGATGATGTGTAAAACAGGAGAAAGAAGGGGGTGAAGAAGAAATCGTGAAGCAGAGGAGGTGGAGCAGGAGGAGCAGAGGTAGGAGAAGGGCGGAAGCAGGAAGAGCAAGAGGGGGAAAGATTAGGAGGAGGAGGAGGAGGACGACGACGACAACGACGACGAGGGGGGAGGACGGAGGAGACAGAAGGATTTGGAAGGAGGGTGGAAAAGGGAGGAGGAGAGGGCGAGGAGAAGGAGGGGAGATGGAGGAGGGGAGGAGGAAGAGACGCGAGCGGGGATGGGAAAGGGCTGAAATGCAACGCGGGCGAGTGGACGCAGAATGGATGGCACAGAGGACCAAACAGCCACAGCAGCGCATACTCTCTGAGGTCCGAGCGGATTTCTCGGGTCGGCGCTGGACCCCCTCCCTGCACCCTTCTCCTGGTGTGCGAGCGCGCTTGGGGCGGCTCCGGAGGCGCCCCCGGCGGGGTGGCGAGAAGGGCGGGTCCAGCGCCGACCCGAGAAATCCCCGCGGACCTCCGAAGGTGTACAGTCAATCCGTAGAACAAGGACGCACGATAAGGATGCAAGGGCCATGTCGACGCTCTGCGAGCGGGGCGCGGCCAGGGGACGCGGCCAAGGGCTGGGCCAAAAGGGGAAGGATGCAGGGAAAACCTTGGGAAGTCGCTCATCCTTACTATGCGGGCTGACTGCATGTCTACGCAGCCTCTCGCAAGCATCCGGTGACAGCCGCTTCTGCCAGGTCGGACGACAAGTGGGGGGAGACTGTCCCGGCGACACGCGGAAGCGAAACTACCTGAACATATCCGGGGCGATCCGCTCTCGATTTCGCCGTCTCCACTATCAACTGTTTCGAGGGGGGCGTCTCGCTCTCGCCCTCACTCTCCTGACGTTCGGCGATTCTCTGCTGGGCTCCGCTGTCTTTTCCGCCGTCGTCTGAGCTTCGCTCTTACGCGTCGCTGGGCCAGTAGGAAAGGAAGGGGTTGGCGAATCCGCTCATCCAGACATCCGGCTGCTCCAAGTTTGTCGATGCGTGGCCCCCGGAGGTCTGCACCACTTCCCCGGGGCCGGTTTTTCGCCCTCGGCCGTTTTTTGACAGTCCCGAGGCCCGGCGAGAGCCCCCCGAGGCCGAAATCAGCCGAGAGCCGCCCGCTCCCTTTTTTGGGGGAGCGTCGGATCTCTGGGCACGTAGCTGACTATCCCAGCGCCGCCCCGCGCCGCGGGCGCCGAGCACATCGAGGAGTGCGCCCGGCGGCGGGGCCGAGTCCCGCCGCAGATGCCGCGGATGTCGCACCTCCCCCCTCCGTTTCCTACCGCCCCCCCCTTCGTCCGACACGACTAGGCATGCAGTGGAATCGGAGGAGGAGGAGCAGAAGGGGGAGAAGCAGAAGGAGGAGGAGGAGGAGCAGGAGGAGGAGGAGGAGGAGGTGGAGGAGGCATGCGGAGGAGGCAAGAGGAGGAGATGCGAGGCATGAAGATGAGGAAGTGGGGAGGCATGCGGAGGAGGCACGAGGAGGAGTTACGAGGCATGAAGATAAAGGCACGAGGAGGAGGGGGAGGCATGAGGAGGAGGAGAGGGGACGAGGAAGGAGGAGGAGGAGGAGGAGGGGGAGGGGCTGCGAGGAGAATGGGGAATGACGAGGACAGAGAGACGAGGAAAAGGCGGAGGAGGAGGAGGAGGCGATGGAAGGACCAGGAGGCGAGGCGGGCTGCCTTCGCCTTCGGCAGCCCGAACCGCAGCGCGGCCGCCGCAGGCAGGGCGGCCAGCAGCCGCCCGAGGCGGGCGACCGTGCGGGGCGGCATGTGCCACGGCGGCCCGCCGCGGCGGCCAGCGGCCGGTGGTGTGGCAGTACGGAGGTATTCTTAGGTCGGGCGTGTCCCTCTACAGGAGGACAATTCAAAAATAGTCTAAAAATGCTCTGGGGCCGATTTTCTGAATATTTTTCACCACGTTTGGAGCATTCTTTGGCTATGTCAAATTTCTCGTCCAAAATTTGCCTGTAGGCGGACATGCCCGACCTAAAGGTATTCAGCGGCGAGCGCGGGGGGAAGCGAGAAGGAGAGAAGGCCTTCCCAGGAGGCGGCGGGACTTCTCAGGAGCCCTCGCGCCCTGTGAGAAGCTGCTCTTCGTAGTCGGGGAAGGCTTGGGAAACTTCTCAGCAGGCCCTTCTGAGCAGGCCTTCTGGGACGGCCTGGGAGGGCTTGGGGGGACGTCCGAACCTTCTGAGAAGGCCTTCTGCCTCGCACTTCCCCCCCCTCGCTGGCCGCCGAGGACGGAGGTATGGAATGTGCACCAGGGCCCCGCGCGGGCTCGGGCCGGGGCGCGGCCAGCGGCGGCCGACCCCAGAGAGGCCCACGGGGCCCACAAGGGCGCCCACGAGGGCCCGCTCGTCGTCGTCGTCGTCGTCGTCGTCGTCGTCGTCGTCGTCGTCGTCGTCGTCGTCGTCGTCGTCGTCGTCGTCGTCGTCCGTCGTCCGTCGTCCGTCGTCCGTCGTCGTCGTCGTCGTCGTCGTCGTCGTCGTCGTCGTCGTCGTCGTCGGGCCCAGGGGGGCTGCTTGGGTGGGCGAGGGGAGGGTGAGGTTGAGATCGTGGCGGCGGGGGGGTGTGGGTGGGCGGCCGAGCTCCGTCAGTGGTGCGGCGGTGGTGGAGCAAGGCGGGGCGGCGCGTGAGCAGAAGGGAGAGAGGGGGGGGGATGACAGGGAACAAAACAACGGAGAGGGGTAGACAGCCAGAGAGGGAGAGGAAGAGAGAGAGAGAGAGGGAGGGGAGGGAGAGAGAGAGAGAGAGAGAAAAAAGGAGAGAGAGAGAGAGAGAGAGAGACTGAGATCTGTGCTACACAAATGAACGGGTGTGCATATTACGTAAAGCATCTGGGAGCCTTGTCCAGAAGAGCTGCATATCACCAAAGCCGAACTGTGCCACAGCGTCAGACTGATGATGGCATGTTGACCGCCGAACAACAGGATAATCGAGCCCACATGTAGTTTAAACCGGCGAGCCGTAAATCGAAGCGGAGGCAGGGAAGAGAAATGAAACGAGCCTCGTGAAGCAAGGCCTACTGGCCAACCTGTACGGATCGAGGATCACCCAAATGGCCAGAGGAGGAAACGACCTGGCACAAAGAGCGGAGAGAGAGAGAGACGGAGAGAGCGAGGAAGAATGATAGGAAGAAACAAACAATAGTGTGAGACACACGCACAGAGAGAGGGAGAGAAGAAGAAAGAAATAACGATATGGAGAAAGAACGAGATAGAGAAAGAGTTGTAACAAAAAAAACGGAGAGAAAGAGAGAAATAATGAGATAGAGTAAGACAGAACAAAGCAGATACATAACAAAGAGAAAGAGAGAACGACACAGATAGAGAGAGATAACAAAAAAACGAGACCAGGGCAAATAGCGGGAGGAGCAGGACTCGGAGCAGGGTTGGGAGCGCTCCTCCTC